CTGGGGCCGCGTCCCACATACAGCAACTAGAAGGATGTGCAGCTATGACAGACAACTATCTGCTGGGGCTTTGGGGGAAAAATAAATAAATAAAAAATCTTTAAAAAAAATAAATAAATAAAATAAAATAAGATTGATAAGAAAATGGAATAAGAGGACAATAAGAGAAGCCAGGGATAGGGTCAGCATATTACAAATGTTTGTCATTTATATAGTCCCTGGATGGGGCCGGCCCCATGGCTTAGCGGTTAAGTGCGCGCGCTCTGCTGCTGTCGCCAGGGGATCGGGAGCGCACCAACGCACTGCTTCTCCCGCCATGCTGAAGCCGCAGCAACTAGAAGGACGTGCAGCTATGACATACAACTATCTACTGGGGCTTTGGGGAAAAAATAAATAAATAAATAAAATTATATAGTTCCTGGATACTGGTCACAAATTTAGCTGTGAGCTTCCTAATGGCCAGAGCAAAGAGGGAAACACCATTAGCATCATAAGATAAAAATAAAGTCATTGTTTGGAGGCTGAGAAAGGTCACTGCCCCACAGTGTTTGGGTACCTGCTGACAATGTGTCAGGTACCAAAGATATCTGGTGTAAGCAGGGTCTGCTATATAGGACACCCAGAACTGAGAGCATGGTGTGTGCCACAGTCAGGTTAAAGAGAATAAGAGAGACAGACCTTCTGTCTCTACAGACCAGGGCTGAAGGAATAAAACTAGTCTTGTAGTCAGGCTCTAGTTGGTTCTCTGAAGATCAGAAATTCATGGGACCCAAGGAGGAAGTCTACATCTGGAGCCTGTTGGGAGCTTGGGTACATTGCCCCTCCCATGGGTACAGCCCAGCCTGGGCAGGACAGACAGGAGCTGCCCCAGGGCCTGAGCCCCAATTAATTCTCATTAAGGATAGTCACACTTCAGATCCTAAGATGGGCCAGAGTCAGGGGCTCTCCTAGCCCTTATCACCACAACTGGGGGAAGGAGAGGCAGCTGGAGGCTGGCCTAGACCCCCACAGTCCTGTCCTCCTGGGGTTTCTCATCAAGGGTGGGCCAAGGCTGGAGGGGGGCCTTTCCTGGTATAGCAGAGGAGATCACAGACAATATCCCCTCTGGCTGTCTCCAGGCAGAGCGGCGGGACCAGGAGCTCTGCTGTCTGTGCCTTCTCTCTCAAGGACATCACGCGTGTCTTCGAGGGGAAGTACAAGGAGTTGGACAAAGAGACTTCACGCTGGACTACTTACGGAGTCCCCGATATCAGTCCCCTGCCAGGCAGTGTGAGTACCATCCCCCACACTGAGCAAAGTCTACACACAGAGACACACACATAATGCTCATGTCAAAGCACCTGTCATGGCATAATAAAAGCCCAATAAATGATAGTGCTCCCCCCGCCCCCCCTGGCCAGTCCTGTCTGCTCAGATATATGCCTGGGCCAGCTGCCCACATTCCACAGGTGTGCAACACATACACACACACACAGGTGTGTACACACAGGGCAGCCCTCCTTCACCCCAGCTAAGTGCACACCAAATACCTGGGTATATCCCTGAGGAAACAAAAGAGCATCGGCTGGGCCAAGCACTATCTTGGGCATCTGCACCTGCATTTTTTATTTAACTTCTGTTTTGTTTTTTGATCAGAGTTGTATATGTGCACCATTTAAAGAATCATATATCGGGCCGGCTCCGTGGCTTAGCGGTTAAGTGTGCGCGCTCTGATGCTGGCGGCCCGGGTTCGGATCCCGGGAGCGCCCCGAGGCACCACTTCTCCGTCCAACGTGAGGCCGAGTCCCACGTACAGCAACTAGAAGGATGTGAACCTATGACATACAACTATCTACTGGGGCTTTGGGGGGAAAAAACTGAATAAATAAAATCTTTAAAAAAAAAAAAAAAAGAATCATATAGATCTACATGGTTGGTTACAAAAATATAGCCCTATTCCCTATGCTCCACTTTTCCCTTTCTAGAGACAACCACCTTCATCTCTTTTAGCTGATTCTTTTGGCATTTATCTCCAAATCTCTAAATAACATACTTTTATTGCTGCTTCTTGATATTTAGTTTCAGGCAGTATCTATTGAATTCCCATTCTGCAAGGTGAGGATTTAACTGTGTGTCCCCCCCGCCCCCACCCCCCACCCCCAGTGATGTGCTGGAGCTGGCTGGCAGCAAGTAGCAAGAACTCTTTTTGCAGATCTCTTTCCAAATTCATGTCCAGTGTTATTACAGTGGTAGTTTGAAATCAGCCATGGTGGGAGTATACACCACGGAAATTAGCAAACACTACAAATCAGGGCTTCCCCACCCCCCTACAAGAGCTGCCTTACCAACACACCACGGCACCCACCCCTCATCTCCCAACATAGTTTTATAGTAATTTGATTAGGTCAATATTTATATTATGACTCTTATTATTCACAGCTGAGCCAGGTGGTAAGCCATGATTACTTTGCCTTTTTGCATAATTTTTTTCCCTGGGGTTAGTAATTATCTTTTTTCCTTTTTTGCTTGCTTTTCTAAGCTCTTTAATTCAACCCCAGACTCTTCCTCAATTATCTGAATCTCTTCTGAAGACAGACCCATTAGGTACTCTTATAGTTTCATATTCTTGGAAATCCTTCTATCTGCTGCGGTGTGGACTGGTGGCCCTCTACATCCGGGGCAGAGCTGCCATCCTGGAATTTCCCTTCCTCATCATTCTGGGCATTTCCTTTGACTCTTTCTTGTGATGATCTCGTGTTTCTTGCATCTCATGGCTTCCTCTTTTTTTTTTTTCTATCTTATTTTAGTGGAGGATAGCCTCTGTAGCTTCCTGGAAAGGGATACATGGCAGGTAAAATTTTTTGAGACCTTGAATGTCTAAAAATGTCTTTATTCTACTTTCACATGTCATAGTTTGGCTAGGTGTATGTAATTCTGGACTGAACTAATCTTCCTTGAAACTTTGAAGGCTTGCTCTATTATCTTCTGACTTCCGGTGCTGCTGTTCAGAAGTCCAAAGCTGTTCTGACCCCTAACTCTTGGAATGTCACCTGTTTTTTTCTCCTTGGAAACTTGTAGTACCTTTTCTTTGTCCCTAGTTGTTCTGAAATTTCATGATATTGTGCTTTTATGGGACTCTATTCTTTTATTGTGCTGGACATTCAATATACCCCTTCAGCCTGGAAATTTAGTTCTTTCCGTTCTAAGAAATTTTCTTGAACTATTTCCTTTTCATTCAACAAATATTTTTTGAGGCCACATGCCACTGTTCTAGGCACTGGACAAAAGTCCCCTCCCTCATGGAGCTGACATTCTGATGTATGTTTTCTCACTTCTTTCTGGACCTCCTAGACTGGTCCTCCAACTTTTTAAATCCTTTCCTATTTTCCAAGTCATTGGTTTTGTTCTACTTTCTTGGAGAGTGTCTCAGTTTTATCTTGTGATCCTTCTATCAGATTTTTAATTTCTGCTAAAATATTTAATTTCCTTGATTTTTTTGAGCTTTGAATATCTCTTTTATAAAAATGTCCTATTAGAGAGAATTTCAAACATAGAAAAAGTAGACAGAATGGTATAATGGACCTCCATATACCCAGCAGCCAGCTTCAACTCATAGCCAATCAAACTTGGCTCATCTACACCCCACCCACTCCTCCCTTATTATTTTGAAGCAAATTCTGGATATCGTAACATTTCATCTGTACTAGTTTCATAGGGCTGCCATAACAAATTACCACAAATTTGGTGTTTTTAAACAATAGAAATTTATTCTCTCACAGTTCTGGAGGCCAAGAGTTCAAAATGTATTCTCTCACAGTTCTGGAGGCCAGCAGGGTTGGTTCCTTCTGGAGGCTCTGAGGGAGAATCTGTTCTATGCATTTCTTACAGCTTCTGCTTGGCTGCTGGCAATCCTTGGTGTTCCCTGGCTTGTAGACACATCACTCCAATCTCTGACTCTGTCATCACTTCACCCTCTCCTCTGTATGTCTCCTCCAATTCTAAAGGCATTTGTCATTGGATTTAGAGCCTTCCATAATCCAGAATGATCTCATCTTGAGATTTTTAGTTATATCTGCAAAGACCCTTTTTGCAAATAAAGTCACATTCATAAGTTCTAGATGGACACATCTTTTGGGGGGCCACCATTCAACTCATTACATTATCCATAAATATTTTAGTATGTATCTCCAAAAGATAAGGGCTTTAGGAAAATAGCCGTCATACCATTATCACACCTAAAAAATTAACATTAATACCTAATCTAATATGCATTTAGTGTTCAGATTTCTAATAGTCTCATAGCTGTCATAAGAGCTTTTTAGTATAGTTTGTTTATTTGAGTCAAAATCCAGATAAGATTTATAAATTTGGACTGGTTGTTGTTTTGAGTCTCTTTTAATCTTTATGTTCCCTTTCCATCTTCATTTTTTTCTCTTACAATTTATTTGTCATGTAGAGTTTTCTGCAATCTGGATCTTGATGATTTTGCATCTCTGTGGTGGAGTTTAAGTATTTTCTGTAAATTGGTTGGTGGTTGGATCTAGAGCCTTGATCAAATTAAAGTTTGATTTGTATGGCAGTGTGGTCTTCTTTCAGGACCTACGTAATGTCTGGCTGCCCTCTTTGAAGTAAGAACTCCTCTTTCATAGCATTCTGTTCTTGTTTCATGGGTACACTATCTTCACTTATCTCTCTTAAGATAGTAATAATACTTTGCTATGAAGTTTTCTTTTCTCTAAATCATTTCTGTTTCCTCTTAGGTTTTTCTTTGTTCATTTTTCTCTGTTTGTTTTGGTCTCTTTCATGTTCATGGTTTTACTCACATGTCTGGTAATCCTTGGTAATCAGATCATATTTAAGAGTGTGGGACCGTGAAGCTGTTTGGAAAGTCTGCCCTTGTGCGTATGACCTGGCAACTTGAGCTCCATTGTAGCTCCACTGAGGATGGTCTGGCTGGGCTGCTTTGTTGGGGACCTTCAATGTCAGTATCTTGAAGTCTTTCCTCCCGGAACTTTAGTCAGTTTTTCCAGAGCAGACTCTTCTAGTCTTCTGCTTGGAGGGAGGTGGTCTGGCTCCTGGTGCCTGGAGACGGTGGGGGAAGAGCGTTGGATGTGGGGGAGGAGTCTCAGCATGTCCTGTGCCTACCTGCACCTAATCCCCTTACCTGCTGCTTTCATGATGGTGTCCCTCCTCAACTGTGCCTGCTGTCCTCCATCCAGAGACCTCTGTTTCACCCTCTTCAGAGAATAAACCTCCAGTCTTGGGCCAGGGCGTGGAAGGGACAGTCATCCAGCTGCATGGAGCTGGGAGGAGATCTGTCTGCTTCTTAAACAGACTTTCAACCAATCTTCTTTACTCAGCCTCTCTTTTACCTCACTTCCAGAGGTGACTTGGGCCACTAATTGATGAACTTGAGGAATTTTGTCTTGTAAATCAGATAGTTTTGGGGTACCCCAGGATTGACTTTAGAAGATTCTCATTTTTTTTCCCGTCAAGTCTTTTATTATTTGTTCATTTGCTTTCCAGCATCCAAACTGTGGCTGCTTTTGCCTCCTCTCCTGTTCTCCCCATCCTTGTAGGTTTATGCCTTTAAAAAAAAAAAACCCTTTGGGAGGAAGCGAGAGTAGGTGCATGTGCTCATTCTGGCACCCAAATGAGATGTAGATGTTACTACTTCACTTTACAGATGAGGAAATTGAAGCTCATGGAGCTGGGGTAACTTGTCTGAGGACACCACTTGTAGGTGACAGAGTTGGGGCTGGCCCTAAGACAGTGCTCTTGGGTATGGAGGACAAAGATCCTGACCAATAATCAGGACACAGGTGTCCCAGAGCCACAGCCTGCTGGTGTTGGCAGGGCCTTTTGAGAACAGCCGGTCCAACCCCCTCATTTTATGGGTGAGAAACAGGAGGTCCAGAATGGAGAAGGGACTCTCCCAGAGTCATGCAGCAAGTTCATGCAAAACCGAGATGAGAAACACTCCCTGCTACACCACCCCTTTCTGTGATATCCTTCATTCAGTCACCGACTCAGCAAACATTTATTGGGCACCAGCCGTGTGCCAGGTCCTGTGCTGTGGCTGGGGCTACAGACAAGAGTAAAACATGGTCCCTGCCTGCGAGGGGCTGTCACCCTGCTTCCTGCTGGCTGCCAGGCATCCTTGATGAAGGTGATGAGGAGGAGGAAAGTAATAACAGCTAACATTTATTGAGTACTTACTTTATGCCAAGCACTGTTCTAATTACTTGTAATGTATTAGTGCATTTCATCCTCACAGCAAGCCTCTGATGTATTGGTAATATGCCATTGCACTGTTAAGGAACCTCAGGATGCAGAGGCTGGAATTCAAAGCCAGGCAGCTCCAGAGTCTGAGCTTTAGCCACCATCCTGAGATGAGGACTGCCATGAGGGAGGGAGGCAAAGGAGATGAGCAGAGGGGGAGGGAGGGAGGGAAGAGGCAATGGGTGAGGTTAAGGGAAGGAGAAAGCTGATCTGCCTCCTTCCCCCTTCAGTGCTCGGTGGGCCCCTCCTCGGATAAAGCCTTGACTTTCATGAAGGATCATTTCCTGATGGATGAGCAGGTGGTGGGGACGCCCCTGTTGGTGAAGTCTGGTGTGGAGTACACACAACTTGCAGTGGAGACAGCCCAGGACGTCGATGGGTACAGCCATCTGGTCATGTACCTGGGCACCAGTGAGTAAAGGGCTCCAGGACATCCCTCAGGGAACTAGAGCAGGACCTGCAACTAGAGCAGGTTGAGGAGAGAAGCTTCGAGATCATTCACTCATGCATTCATTCAGCAAGTGTCTTCTGAGCACCTGCTTGTGCCTGGCACCCTGCTAGGCTCTGAAAATACATTGGGGGAGCACAACAGCCCAATCTCTACCCTTTCTGAGCTTTCAGTCTGGTGGGGGCCTTAGCAAGAGCTGTTTATCTTATGGCAGAAGCCATGTTAGAGAGGGGAAGAGTGAGTGGGTAGAGGGGAGCTGGAAACAGCAAGTGTAGAGATCACTCCTTCAGAAAGCTTGGCTGTGAAGGGGAAGAGGGGAAGCGGGGTGACTGGAAGAGGGTGTGGGACCCAGCCAGCATTCTTTTTTTAAAGATGGGAAAGATTGTCAGGATCCAGTAGAGAGGGAGAGATGGTGAAGAGATGAGCAGGCCAGGGGATAATTGGCAGTGAAGTTGCAGAGGCAGCAGGAAGCCAGAGTCCAGGACACAGGTGGAGGAGGGACAGCATCTCTGCTGGAATGGGAGTGAAGGAGTAGCAGAGGTAAGCCTGGGTGAGTGTATAGACTACGGGGCCAGGCAGGAAGCAGAGGGAACTCTTATCTTAAGTGAAGGCTTTTGTGTTCTCTATGAAGTAGGAGGACACAAGGTCTTGAGCTGGGAGTGAGGGGTGGAAAAGGTAGGAGGTTTGAGGAGAGAGGGGTAGATTCAAATAGTCATTGGGGAAAGAAGTAGGGGAAAGTGGAGGATTGCCAAGCATATATATCGAGGGCTTGGCTGAGGTGGATGACCTTGAACTTCAGTGGAAGAAATCTACCAGATTCATTCATTCTTTTAGGACGTGTTACTAAGCACTGTATCAGCTGTGCCTATATTGGGTGTACAGTAGAGAACAAAACAGACAAAAAGGTCAATCCTTGTGGAGTGCATGGAGACAGACAATAAACATGCTGAGTGAATTACTTAGGATGTTATGAGATTAGGAAACTAATGAAGTATAAGGGCAGGTCAGGAATGCCAGTTGGGGAGGCTGCAGGGGTGGTCAGAGTAGACCTCACTGAAGTGCCTTTGAGTAGAGACACTTGATGGAGGTGAGGGGGGCTGGTGATGTGATTGTCTACAGAAGCGTTCAGCTGTCCGCTATCCCATGTCCATGGAGAAACGGGACAGCTGGGTTCCTTCAGGAATGGAGTTTTATCAGGCAGTTGCAAAGGAAGGACAGACAGGCAAGGGATTTCAAGCTGTTTACAAGAGCGCTCCAACCCCATGGCATAGAGGGAAATGGTCTGATCCATCTGTGTCCAGTGCATGTTACACTTCAGAAGGAACTTTCCGACAGCTGGGGAGGCCACCTGGAGTCAGAGAGGAGCACGAGAGGGGTTTGTGGATGAGGTGAGACAATCTCAGCTCTCTGTCTCTCCACAGCCACGGGGTCCCTCCACAAGGCGGTCGTGAGCGGGGACAGCAGTGCTCATCTGGTGGAGGAGATCCAGCTGTTCCCTGATCCTGAACCTGTTCGCAACCTGCAGCTGGCCCCCACCCAGGTGGGAAGGGACTTTCTGATAGGTTGGGCCTTGGATGCTGGGTCCTTATTAGGTGTAGTGGGGGCACCCTGACACTCTCCATCTCTCTTCCAGGGCGCAGTGTTTGCAGGCTTCTCAGGGGGCATCTGGAGGGTTCCCCGAGCCAACTGTAGTGTCTATGAGAGCTGTGTGGACTGTGTCCTTGCCCGGGACCCCCACTGTGCCTGGGACCCTGAGTCCCGAATCTGCCGCCTACTGCCCACCCCCATCCCGTGAGTGCCAGTCTTGGATGGTGGCCACAGGTGGCCCACCAGGACCCTTCTTACCCAGCTTATGCTTCTGTTCTTCCTCTCTCCAGGGTTTACTGACACATTCCCTCCATGATTCCCCCCTCCTGTGATGGGTTGCTCCCGGGATGGAATTGCGCCAGGCAGTTTTGAAGCTGCTCCAGCTGTCCTGGCTTTCTCTTCCTCTCCTCTCTGTTCTACCTTATCTCCCCTGGCCCACCTTCTTCCCCACTGCACTTCCCTCTCTTCCTTCCTCCTCTTCCCACTTTTGGCTGTTTCAAGGGATGATTTTTGCTTTCCCTGCCTTCTCAGGAAGTCCTGGAAGCAGGACATGGAGCGAGGGAACCCAGAGTGGGCTTGTGCCAATGGCCCCATGGGAAGGAGCCACCGGCCTCAGAGCCGCCCCCAAATCAGTGAGTGTGGGACCAGGGGAGGCGCAAAGGCTCGGGAGAACTTCTGGGCAGGGGTGGGCATTACTGCCTCAATTGCTGCAGCACCTGCCCAGCTTGAGACCTGAACACCCAGAGTTGGGATGGATTTGGGTTCTGGCTATAGCGGGGAGGAATAGGAATTCTAAGCTGGGATTCAGGATTTAGGGTGAAGTTGGTTTTGGTGTCAGAGTTGGAGTCAGATGGATTGGAGGTTAGTTTGGGGTCCAGACTGGAGATAGGCAAGGGGTCAGAGTTGAGTTTGAGAGTTGAAATGGAATTTGGAGATGGGAGTTGGGGTCCAAATGTAGGGCAGAATGTTCCCTCCTGCCTTCCTTCTCCCCCTTCCCTTAACCTTTTGCCCTTTTCCCTCACCTACAGTTAAAGAAGTCCTGGCTGTCCCCAACTCTATCCTGGAGCTCCCCTGCCCCCACCTCTCCGCCCTGGCCTCTTACCGCTGGAGCCGTGGCACAGCAGCAGTCCCGGAAGCCTCTTCCACGGTTTACAATGGCTCCCTCTTGCTGCTACTGCGGGATGGGGTGGGGGGCCTCTATCAGTGCTGGGCCACTGAGAGTGGCTTCTCATACCCCGTGGTCTCCTACTGGGTAGACAGCCAGGACCAGCCCCTGGTGCTTGATCCTGAACTGGCGGGCATTCCCCGAGAACGTGTGGAGGCCCCACTGACCAGGGTTGGTGGCGGGGTCACTCTGGCTGCCCAGCGGTCCTACTGGCCCCACTTCCTCACCGTCACTGTGCTCCTTGCCTTAGTGCTTTCAGGAGCCCTCATCATCCTCCTCATCTCCTCACTGGGAGCACTTCGAGCCCGGGGCAAGGTCCAGGGCTGTGGGACCCTGCCCCCTGGAGAGAAGGCCCCATTGAGCAGGGAGCAGCACCTCCAACCCCCCAAGGAACATAGGACCTCTGCCAGTGACATGGACACTGACAACAACCACCTGGGCACTGAGGTGGCTTAAACTCTTGGCACAGGCTAGGGGCGCCTGGCCATGCTGGCTGGGGCACCTGGAGCAGTGCAGCCCTGACTAGGGTGGGAGGAGCACAAAAGACCACCTTCCTCCCACACGAGGAGCTTCTCCTGCCACTCTGTGCCACCAACAGCACTCAGCGGGGTGGGCGCAGTGGCCTGACTGCCCTATGGGACTCCCTTCTACCAAGCACATGGGCTCTCTAATGGGGTTGCCCCAGACCTGGACCTAGGCTATGATATGAGGACCTAAAGAGGATCCTTCAGTTCTGGCCATTCCAAGACCGTCCAGAAACATACTGCTCCAGGAGACTCTGAAACACCTGACTGTTCTAGGACCCCATGGTGATAAACGCCAAACATCTAAACAGCCGTAAGATAGCGCACCGCTCCTGGAGACTCCACTCTGAAAGCAGCTGCCACCTTGGACACCAACACTCCCCTCTCCCAGGGGTCTCTAGGGTTCTGCAGGGAGCTGCCCCCTCCTGCTCCCCTTATTGGCCGTGCACCACTGGCTCCTAGGAGGTCTTTCCTGAAGTCTGACCTCTTTCCTTCTTGCTTCAGTTGGGGCAGATTGTGATCCCTTCCGGCCTGGCTAGAATGGCAGGGGTAATCTGAGCCTTGTTCACTCCTTCACCCTGGCTGACCCCTTGACCTCTATCCTCTCCCCTTTCCTTTGTTTTGGGATTCAAAAACTGCCTGTCACAGACAGTTTATTTTTTATTAAAAAGACAAAGCTTACGACTGGTGCTGTTTTTGTTGGAGCAGGGTGCTCCAGCAGAGGACTGCGGGATGTGAGGGGAGCAGGCAGTCCAAGGACATCAGTAGGGAGGAGGACTAGGTTTGTGGGGTGATTGTTCTCTCGAACTCCAGACCACTTCCTCTGCCCTGCCAGCTCGCCCCACAGAACCAGCTCCCCGCAGGTGCTGTACCCAGCTCTCCCACACTTCTCGTGACTCCAGCTCAGCCCCCCTTCCCCAAGGCAGCAGTTGGTTTCAGGTTTTGGTGGGTTGAATTTATAGAACAGCTGTACAGCCACCCCCATCCTGGCCACATCCTTCCCAATATCTGACAAACAGCACTCTGTCTACACCCCATACCACCTTCCCCCTCTCTCTCCTGTCCTGAGGGCACATGTCCCTCCTCCAATCAAGGCTAACCAGTGTATTTGCCCCCTCCTCTCTGCCAAGGCCCCCAGCATTGCCCCCTCGCTTTATTACTCTCTCATCTTTAATGCCCCCTCTCCTACCCACAGGTGTGCTAGGTGTTCTCTGTATGAAGAAAACAAAACAATAACCCTTCCTGCAACTGCACCCTTTCAGTCTACCCCCTCCACCCCGACTTGCTCTCTCTTTCCTCTTACCACCAAACACCAGAGAGTGTCCGTTCTGGCGGCCTTGCCCAGTCCACCCCCAGTGTCGCCTTCACATCCTTTAATCCCCCATGGTCTGGCTTTTTTCCCCACCTCTCGGCTCAAATGACTCTCCAAGATTTCCCATAAGCTCCTAACTGACCTTGACCTCCATGCAGCCTTCACAGCTTGGCCATCCTGTTCTTCTCACCACTCTTCTATGAAGACTTCTTCTTTAAAAATGTTTTTTTAATTGTGGCAAAAAGCACATAATATGAAATTTACCCTCTTTTTTTTTTTTTGAGGAAGGTCAGCCCTGAGCTAACATCCATGCCAATCCTCCTCTTCTTGCTGAGGAAGACCGGCTCTGAGCCAACATCTGTTGCCAATCCTCCTCCTTTATTTTCCCCCAAAGCCCCAGTAGATGGTTGTATGTCATAGTTGCACATCCTTCTAGTTGCTGTATGTGGGATGCGGCCTCAGCATGGCCGGAGAAGCCATGTGTCGGTGTGCGCCCAGGATCCGAACTCGGGCCGCCAGTAGTGGAGCACACGCACTTAACCGCTAAGCCACGGGGCAGGCCCTGAAATTTACCCTCTTAACCATTTTAAGCATACAGTTCAGTAGTGTTAATTATATTCACATTGCTGTGTAACAGATCTCTAGAATTTTTTCATCTTGCAAAATCGAAAGTCTATACCCATTGGACAACTCCCCATTCCCCCTCCTCCCAGCCCGTGGCAACCACTATTCTACTTTCTGTCTATGAATCTGACTACGCTAGGTACTTCACATAAGTGGAATCATACAGTATTTGGCCTTTTTCAACTGCCTTATTTGTCTCACCATAGTGTCCTCAAAGTTTATCCATGTTGTAGCATGTGACAGGTTTCCTTCCTTTTTTGAGGCTGAATAATATTCCATTGTATGTATTTCATCTGTTGATGGACACTGGGTTGTTTTCACTTCTTGGCTGTTGTGAATAATGCTGCAATGAACATGGGTGTGAAAATATCTCTTCAAGATCCTGTCTGCTATGGCTTCTATATTGGAGTTATTTGGCTTCTCTAGTTCTTTCTTTCTCCCCTGCTGGCTCCTTTTCTTCCTCCCATTTCCCAATGCACTTTTACCCCAAGCATGACTTTCAGTGTTCAAAGCACCCTTGCCAGACTTCCTCTCTTGTGGCTCCCCTGATGACCTCTAGGCCAAGGGTTGTGGGGGTTGTGTGGGGTGGTGAAAAGGGCACTGGGCCAGACTGGGCTCCTGGGACCTTCATCTGCTGTTAACAGACTCAGACAGCCTTCCCTGTCTGCACCTCAATTTCTTCATGTCTCAGAATGAAGGAATGCACAGGAAGTTCTTCCTGCTTTAAGCATTATGGACCCCTCACTGTCAAACATACAGCTCCAGAGCTGAACCTTTCTCCTGTGCTCCAGGCAGTACAAGGACAAGCCTGCTGGACATCTTTATCCAAGTGACCCAGAGGCTCCTGGAACCACACCCTTTCTCTGCCTCCCCCCACTGTCACTCTGGAATGTACTCTTTCCTCATCTTTCTCTAAGGTACAATGTAGAGGCTGTCTCCTCCATACCATCTTCCCAGCCTGCCCAGTCCTGGCTGATTATTCTTCCCTACGATTTCCCCAGCACTCACTGGATCACTCATGAGGTACTTAGACCAACCATAAGGATGTAAGATATAGAAGGGATGACACATGTGGTTACCTCTGCTGGACTGCCAACACCCTGGGGACAGGAGGCATCTCAGCCTCATCTCCATAGCCTACAGCATGAGGCACTATGCTATAGTGAAAGGAGGTGCTTGGGAAATGCTTACCATTTGTGGGAGCAAAGCCTTGGTCAGTCTCATCTTGCATAACCTCTCTGCAGCCCTTGACATTGGTCACATTCCTTCTTGTAACCCTTGTCCTTTGGTCTCTGGTTGCAGTGCTCTTGCTTATCTTCCTACCTCTCTGGCCACTGCTTCTCAGTTTCCTTCAAGCACTCCTCTTCTCTCCCTTTAAAAGTCCCCTTGGGCAATGTCTTCCCTGTCTATTGCTTCCGCTCCCACCTCTTAACCAAGGATGCCCATTCATTCATTCAGCACACATGCACTCAGTACCTGCTACGGTTCAGAATCTGGCTTTGACAGCTGGGGAGACACATGAATCAGACCTGCTTCCTGCCTTCACGGGCCTTACAATCCAGCAGTTGGGACGGGCTGGCAACAATCAGAGCCGGGGTGGGATGGGGAAGAGGTATGGTAGGGGACAGTGTATTGCCAGCTCAGGCTTCCTGCCTCCACCCAGATACACCACAGACATCTCTAACACATGTCCCACGTTGATCATCCTCTCCAAACCTGCTGCCCCTCCCATGTTCCCATGCTAGTTAATCGCACTGCAATGTAGAAGCTTGGGACTCATCCTACACTTCCTCTCTCATCCCCTCCACATTCAGGGGGCCACTGGTCTCCTCTCCTCTCCTCTTCCCTCTCCCTGGAATTCCTCAGCACCTCTCCAGTCCCATCAGGCCCAGACAACCTCACCAAGACAACCAGAGCCAACCCCTAACCAGTCTCTGCCACCTTCTCCCCTCCCATCCATATTCTGCTCTACGGTCAGGGTCAAGAGGAGCTTACTAAAAAAATTCTGCCTAAAACTGCCAAATGGCTTTTATTAAATCCAGAATTAAAAAATGACAACCCCTTGGAATGGCATGCCTTGCCTCCAGCTCCTCCATGCACACCTTGATGCTACTTGCAGTTCCTGAGCCCCTTTATACAGCTTCGTGGAAACCTTTATTGAGGGCCTAGCGTTACTCCAGTCCTTGGTGACACAGGGATGAATAGACATCCTGCCTAAAGGAACTAACCATGAGCTTCCTTTGGGTATGCTATTTCTTCCACCTAGAACATCATCCCCTCTGTGGATTCTTCTCTAACCTCCCATGCAGAGTTAGTGCCCTATGCACACCTCAGTACAACCCTTTGTATGCAATGTTGCTGCTTCATTGTGCTTCTGTGGGCCTGGCATATGGTAGGCACTCTCTCAATGCTGACATCTGTTCATTTATTCAACAAATATTTACTGAGCACTTGCTATGTGACAGGCACTGTTAGGTGCTGAGGGCACATCAATGAACATAACAGACACAATTCCTGCTGTCATGGAGCATACATTCTAGTGTGGGAGATGGATAATAGATATATAAATCAGTAAAATAGGTAGGGAACACTAGATGGTAACGTGCAATGGAGAAAAAACATTAAGTTGGAGAAAGAAGGTTGAGAGTGGGTGGGGTGTCTACAATTTTCAGTAGGGGATTCAGAGTAGGTCTCCCCAAAAGGAAACTCTGTATGAATTAAGCAGTCACTCCTCGCTCTTCCTCCCCCAAGTCCTAGGCAACTACTAATCCACTAATGTACTTTCCCTCTCTATAGATTTGTCTATTCTGCATATTTCATATAAATGGAATTACATAATATGTGACCTTTGTGTCTGGCCTATTTCATTGAGCATAATGGTTTCCAGTCATCCATGTTGTAGTATGTAGCAATACTTCATTCCTTTTCATCACTGAATAATATTCCAACACATGGATATACTACAGTTTGTTTCTACTTTTTGTCTATTGTGAATGGTGCTGCTCTGAACATTTGTGGACAGGTTTCTGTTTGAACACCTGTTCTCAACTCTGGATATATAGTCAGAGTGAAATTGCTTGGTCATATGGTAATTTTGTTTAATTTACTGAGGAATCACCAACTTGTTTTCCGCAGCATCTACACCATTTTACATTCCCATCAGCAACATCTGAGGGTTCCAATTCCTCTACATCCTTCCTAACATTTGTTACTTTCTGGGTTTTTGTTTGTTCGTTTTCCTTAAAGCCATCCTAGTGGGTGTGAAGTAGGATCTCATTATGGTTTTGACTTGCATTTCCCTAACGACTGATGATAGTTGAGCATCTTTTCATGTGCTTATTGGCCAATATCCTTTGCCCATTTTTTTTTTTAAAGATTTTATTTATTTTATTTTTTCCCCCCAAAGCCCCAGTGGATAGTTGTATGTCGTAGCTGCACATCCTTCTAGTTGCTGTATGCGGGACTCGGCCTCAGGATGAACGGAGAAGTGGTGCCTCGATGCGCACCCGGGATCCGAACCCGGGCCACCAGCATCGCAGCGCGCGCACTTAACCACCAAGCCACAGGGCCGGCCCTGCCCATTTTTTTAATTGGGTTATCTTTCTATAGTTGAGTTGTAGAAATATCTATTTTGAAATGAATTGGCTCTCCACCTCAGACCTCCCAGTCCCTCATTTAAAAAGCTTTTCCTCTTCTTTTAAATCCATGTACTACAGGCAAATAGTTTCAGAGCTGGAAGAGACCCTTAATGTCATTTATTCCACCTCCAGGATGTCCCCTATTCCTGCAATTTTTTGAGTTGCCAAACCGCAAAATTAGTTGTCTAACCTTAGTCCTTCCTGAGGCAGATTGGCCTCTACTGTTTTGGCTCTATAAATGAGAAAAGTTATGCAAAAATTACAGATTAGATTTGCATTTAAAGATTCTAATAGATCTGAAACACAAGGTGACCCATTTAGATTTGGATCTTCAAGAACCTGCCTGAAACTCGATTTCCGCGAATTAGAAAGGACACGCCCGCGCGCCGTAGAATTGAGGGCATGGCGAAGCTAATAAAGGCGTGGCTTCTGCCCAAATTCAAGATGGCCGACAAGGACCTTCTATCCCTGCACCAGGGGTGGTGGGGAGAGGCTTAAAGAACGCCATTGGTGGAGTTGCCCACGGATCATCCCCGCCCCATGTAGGGGGCGGGAGTGACAGCGTCCCAATTTCCGGTTCCGGCAGCACCGGGGTCCCCGGCGAGATGGAGGAAGATGCGACCCGAGGCCAGAAGTCGCGGGGAACAGAGGTTAGAGTGGGAGCTGCGGCTTAGAGGTCCGGGCTTGGACTTCGCCTCAGACGCGGCGGAACCGCCCTGATCTGAGAAGGTAAGAAACCACCGGCTTGGGGTGCCTGAGGACTAAGGTCTCCGAGGACCTGGAGCTGTCAAGGAGGCAGTGAGTGTCTGCAGTGCCCGGCTGCAGTTCCATGGGAGCCCGCCACGCAGTTTTGGGGATGAAGGACGACTCCCTCAAGGCACCTCTTCCTGTCGGTGGAGCATGAGGTTCGCAAACAGCGAAAGAAGCATGACGAGAGGCATGGCAAGGGGCATGTCCGAGGACCCAGAGGCGGCTGTGCAGGGGCCAAGACAGAAGCTGCATAAAGGGGGTGTCCTGTGGAGTAGATGGAGAGGATTGTCATGGGGGTGTCTGTGATGAGGGATCACGTGGGTACCTATGGAAGACCAAAAGAAGGCTGGGTGGGAATCTCATCATGTCTGAGGGAGGAGATTATCTCGAAGGAGGGGTCGGAGGCATAGCCAGGGACCTCCCCTAAGGAAATGCATATTCATTAGGACAGGTAGGCAAGCATGTAAATATATTCCCATTCATGTGGTAGATTGCTCCCAGGATGCAGAGCCTTGATGCACATGCAGTAGGGAGAACAGAGGAACAGAAGGAGGAAGAAAAGATCTTGTGTCCAGCTGAGAGGTGGGGACCACACCCCATGGTGTCTTGTCAGGAGTTGCAGAAGGTGATCTGATTTGGTGAGAGTGGTTGACTGAAAAGATCTGAATGAGTCTAGCCGTCATCATTGGGCCCAGTTCTGGTGACAAGTCAGGATGGAGTCAGAGGGCTCCTAATCTAGTCTTAGTGGTCCTGGACTCCTGGAGTCATTGTTGTTGTTATGATACTGACAATCCTTAATATTTAAAGCAATGCTTTCCAAACTCCGATGCACGTATTAATTGCTCAGAGATCTTGTTAAAATGATGGCTCTTATTCAGCAGATCTAGGGTGCATTCTGAAATCCTGTATTTCTAACAAGCTCCCAAGTGATGCCCAAGCTGCTGGTCTGTGCACCAGTCTGAGTAGCAAAGATTTAGAGCAGCACTGTCCAACAGAGCTTTCTGCAATGGTAGTAATGCTTTGCTGTTAACAAAATGTTTTCACACATCTTAGCTCATATGAGTTGCACCACACTGTTATATAGCCATGGCAGGCTTTATTAGCCCCATCTCACAGATGAGGAAACTGAATTTCAGTGAAGTGACTTGGTTCCAATCCTACTAAGTAAGTAATGGAAGTGGAATTCAAATTTGATTCTCCTGACTACTAGTATTCTTTCTACGGTATGACTTTGCCTTCCAGGTGACACTGCCTTGTCCTGAACCAGAATCTTATCCCAGAACCTAGTGAATAGTCTGGTGTGATTTTTCTGGTACAGAGAGAGTGGAAGTGAAGGGGAGATGTACCCATCCCTCAAGTTTGTCCCTTTTCACTGATAGGCTCAGTAGTGGGGGCTTTGCCTCTGACCTCTCATTTGATGACTTCAGGACATCCTGGGTCATCTGTTGGGTCCCCAGGGGAAGCACTTCAACCTTTGTACCTGAGCAGTGTTAAAAGATGGGGGAAAATTCAGAATTGGAGCCATGCACACAAATAAGGGTCTGGGAAAGAGCCATAAAGAAGTTGGGCTGATTGAGTTAGGAGAAGGGAAGGCTGAAGGAAGTCTGCAAACAGGTGGTAACTGCAAGGAGGATTTTCCAGAGAGTAAAACAAGGGGAACTGGTTTTGATATTTCAGCAGGAAGTCTGGAGGTTATATAACAAAGACGAGGTTGAGATCCCACCTTTAGGAGCAGCCCAACCTTTTAAAGGGGTAGAGGGAATGGGTGCAATGCCCCCTCTCCCTTCAACTGTGGAGGCTTGTCCCCCTGAGGCATGACCCTTCGTGGCTTCTCCTGTCACCATGGCAATGGTAGGAGTTACCTGCTTCGGCCTTGCAGAGGCTGCCCTTCCTTCTGGGAATTTAAAATAGACTGGCACATGTGAGAGATGGAGGAAAGTGGGGAAATGGGGCACTGGGTCCTGCCTTAGGATTTCTCATCAGGAGATATTGGTATTTTGTCATTCAGCTTGACAAGTTGAGATGGTGCCCACAAAACCAGGTCCTGGAACAGAATCCTTGGTTGCTCTGCCCCTCTGCCCTGCTTGGCATGCAGTTTGCATGAGCTCGGCAGGAGGCCCTCCTGCTTGAGCCCTGCTATATTTATTTGTCCTGTGACAACAGCATGCCCGCCCAGCCACACAACTCGGTCACTCCACAAGCACACTGGAAAAGCAGAGGCAGCTCTTGGTTTTTCTGAAACAGAGACCTGAGAAAGGTCTCTGGGCATCTTCAGGGCCAGGAGCTTATGCTTAACCCTTGGGTGACTGGCAGTCATGAGGGAATTCTGCCTCCCACAGATGGGAATGAATTGGCTTCAGACTGAACAGAGAGATTTGTGTTGGAACTCCTCAACTCCCATGAGGTAGAAGGCATGGTGGAGTAGAGGAGAAATCCTGGCTCATATCCTGCCTCCACCAGTGACCAGCTGCATGACCTTGGGCCTGTCCTTTTAACCTGTCTGACCCTCCATTTCCTCATTTAGCAGAAGTGTCTAACTGTACACAGGTTAAGTTGTGAGGATTACATGAGGTAATAGCTATTCTGTAAAACCTAGTGTCTCTCTATCTCTCCTCATCTCTCAGTTGTAATGGACAAATGACCTTGGGACCCTGGATGACAAACATCCTGGGGCAGGGGAGACAGTGACCACCTTCTCTTGAAGAGCCTCCAAGGAGAAGATTGCCCTGCTGGACTTGGTGGGTGTCCTAGGCTGAGGCTGGGGAGGAAGGGTTACTTTTGCCCACAGCAAGTGGCAATATTAATGTTCAGGGGTTCTCCTCCTAGAACCCCACCTCTAGCTCATTTCCCACAGCCTAGCTTCTCCATTCTGGCCAACCCAGTTGTTTCAAGCCATTGTTCTCTCTCTTTCACTCTCTACATGTATTCCTCCTTCATTCATGCTGCTTTGTCCTCCTCCAGGAAGCCTGTCTTGGTCACATGTACCTCACCCATGCCTCACCTTGAAGCTGAGGTTTTCCCTCACCTCGCATGTACTCCCAGTTTGCACTGCTGGTGGCCCATACTTTAATGAAAGTGATACAGTCCAGCTCAGGGAATTCCGGAAAGCTAACTTTGCTTCCCCGCTGACTTCCCTGGTAAACCAAGAAGCTACTTATGCTAGTTGGGACCTTTGGGTGGGGACAGTGGTTGAAGATGAACTCTGATTAGATACTCGACGTGAGGTTTGCCAAGGCACTGGCACTGGGACTGCTTGTATAGAACATTTCAGCTCTCTAGAGTTGTCCCGTTGATGTGGCCACATCCCTTCCCAGCCCTTAGGGATTTCTCTCACAGGCTGGGGAGCCCCTGACTTCTCGTTTCCTGGAATTTAACTTCCCACTTTCCCCTACTGGCTGAAAATGTCCAGTACCCTACACAGGAGCACTTAGATTGTCACTAAGAATATGTCCAATAAGAATATGTCCAACATATGATGTCCTCCTGTTTGACAGTTCTTAAGTTGGAAGCTCCTGATTTTATACAGTTATTCCATTAGTAAGATTATTAGTTTTGTTTGAAATTTTAGGTGATGGATACACTTAACATGAGGGCCACGTGTACATTAATTTCCCTGGTTTCTTTATTTCTGTATCTTACATCCCTTCCCCAGGGAGATACAATCCCCAGAGGGATACCGTGTCTCCTTGAACAGACAGTGAGTTTCTCGAAGGCAGAGTCTCTATCTTTTCTGTCACTTGAATTTCCCTTCATTATATAGGACTGCGGTTATGATTTATATGCTTAGGGATGAAAAGGGCCAAACATATTCTCTCCTCTGAAGTTCTGAAGACTCTTCAGGGAAACTACTTACCTCTCAGGTGGATCTTTTCTTTCTCTAGAGTGAGTTATCTAATAACCAAAGAGGACTCTGACCTTTGGCTTATTCCTAACTTTCTAACTCCTTTCATAAGAGGGCGGGGAGGGAGGGGGGGCCCTGTGGTGTGAAAGCCCCACTTAGCTTCTTCCCCACACTTGCTTCTAATGCAGACTGGAGAAAATATAACTGTAGTGAGCATGGGTCAGGGGAGCTCAGAGGGCCCAGCACAGGAAACCAGAAATAAAATAAGGTGAGTCAGCTGGTAAATGGTGATAAAAGAGGTTCCCTGCTGAGGATGAAAGGCCAAAGGTGGTGACTCCTCAGTGGGCCCAGGAGCATCAGAAATGGAGCACTTCTCTTCAGCCTTTAGGAACCTCGTAAATGTCACTTAGTGACATCCCATTAGCCCACTTAAAGGCCTTGTGTCCTGTCAGGTGATCGGTTTGTCCATAGCATCCTGAGCTCTGCCTGGGTGAGCCAGAGAAGGAAAAGGAGAATGGGCTATGACACCAGAGCCCAGGCAGAAGCAGAGAGACCAGGATTGAGACCCGATAGGCTGGGGGTAGGGAACTGAGGTGGGAGTGGAGCCAGGGGAGTTGCTGAGGTGGGGAACAATTTCTGGAATTGGGAAGGACTGATAAAGGAGAGAGAGGGGGCAGTATCCTTATCTGTGAAGGAGACTCAGGTGGTGGTTGGCAGAGCCAGACTGGGTAAAGTCTAAGCTTTGGGGAGGTGAGTACCCCAGGAGATGAAGGCTGAGAATGGGGTTTCAGAGCCTAGCCAGAAGGGGAAGTGAGAAGTTCTGACCTCCTCCCTCACATCCCTCCACTCTGCTCAAATCCTCAGGTCTTCAGGCACAATGGAGGACAAGCGCAACATCCAGATCATCGAGTGGGAACACCTGGACAAGAAGAAGTTCTACGTGTTTGGTGTGGCAATGACAATGATGATCCGTGTCAGCGTCTACCCATTCACCCTCATCCGCACCCGGTTGCAGGTTCAGAAAGGCAAGAGCCTCTACCATGGGACCTTTGACGCCTTCATCAAGATCCTGCGAGCAGATGGGGTGACTGGCCTCTACCGGGGCTTCCTGGTCAACACCTTCACCCTCATCTCTGGCCAGTGCTATGTCACCACGTACGAGCTCACCCGGAAATTTGTAGCAGACTACAGCCAGAGCAACACAGTCAAATCTCTGGTGGCCGGTGGCTCAGCCTCTCTCGTGGCCCAGAGCATCACGGTGCCCATTGATGTGGTCTCCCAGCACCTGATGATGCAGCGCAAGGGTGAGAAAATGGGCCGCTTCCAAGTGCGAGGGAACTCAGGGGGACAAGGGGTAGTTGCCTTTGGCCAAACCAAGGACATCATCAGGCAGATCCTGCGGGCTGATGGGCTTCGAGGCTTCTACCGAGGCTACGTGGCTTCACTGCTTACCTACATCCCAAACAGTGCTGTCTGGTGGCCCTTCTATCACTTCTATGCAGGTAAGCAGGGGCCAGGACAGTGGGAGGGGAGGAGGGGTTTACTAATGGGGCTGAGATACTATTGCTCTGTGCATGTTGGAGTGGGAGACTTAATGGGAGAATGGGCAATTTATTCAGAAAATATTTGAATCCAAGAGGTTCCAAGATGATGAGACATGGTTCTTGTCTTCAGGGAGCTTATACAGTCATGCGTCGCTTAACAATGGGAATACGTTTTGAAAAATGCGTCGTCAGGCAATTTCATCATTGTGTGAACATCATAGAGTATACTTCCACAAACCTGGGTGGTGTAGCCTACTACACACCTAGGCTATGTGATACTAATCTTATGGGACCACCATCCCATTATATGCGGTCCATCATTGACTGAAACGTCGTTATGCGGCACATGACTGTATTATAATGGGAGGAATCAGACACGTCAAGTAGATGACGTAGAACATAGAGTATGTTCTGGGTGCATTGGGATCAACTAGGGTTAGTGGATTACTGGCAGAGAATTGGACGGTGGGGAAGGACAAAATTCCTGGGATGTTTGAGATTTGAAGATGAAATTGATGGATAACAGTGAGCTTTTGAGTTGGATGCCAAGATGTGATAGAACCTTTTTGTGTGTGTGTGTGTGTGAGGAAGATTGGCCCTGAGCTAACATCTGCCAATCCTCCTCTTTTTGCTGAGGAAGACTGGCCCTGGGCTAACATCCGTGCCCATCTTTCTCCACTTTATATGGGACGCCACCACAGCATGGCTTGCCAAGTGGCGCGTCAGTGCGTGCCCAGGATCCGAACCTGTGAACCCTGGGCCACTGCAGCGGAGCGTGCGCACTTAACCGCTTGTGCCACTGGGCCCGCCCCCACCTTTTTTTTTTTTTGTGAGGAAGATCGTCCCTGAGCTAACATCTGCCAATCCTCCTGTTTTTTGCTGAGGAAGACTGGCCGTGGGCTAACATCCATGCCCATCTTCCTCCACTTTATGTTGTTTTGTGTGTGTGTGAGGAAGATCGGCCCTGAGCTAACATCTGTCAATCCTCCTTCTTTTGCTGAGGAAGACTGGCCCTGGGCTAACATCCATGCCCATCTTCCTCCACTTTATAGGGGATGCTGCCACAGCATGGCTTGCCAAGTGGCGCATCGGTGCGTGCCTGGAATCCAAACCAGCGAACCCCGGGCTGCTACAGTGGAGCGCGCGCACTTAACCGCTTGCGTCACCGGGCCAGCCCAATGGAACCTTGAACCTCTCCACTCCTATAATGTATTTTTGTTCATAAGACATTTTATTTCTTTTTAAGTATTTCCCAGAAATGGGACTACTGGGTCAAAAGATAACATTTTGAGGGCCTCAATAAACATATTGCCAGATTTCCTCCTGAAAGGGCAGAGCGCATTGCCAAGAGCAGGACCTGAGTGTGCCTGCTACCCTGTGACATCCACAGCTTTGGGTAACCACCCAACTCCAGTTAGGGCAGTCTGTGCCTGGAACCTCCCTGATCCCTGCTGCTGGCTTCTAACTCTTGGCAGTGGGCATTCTGTCCCCTCCCATCTGGAACTTTTCTAACTAAATTTTGTAATGACTTCCTGACCTGTAATCATTTTGTCTCTATGACCCTGTACTTTTCCGGTTCTCCTATTTTTCTGATTGTACCTTCCTTTTTTTTTTTGGCTAGCCCTGTTTCTTTCTTCTTCTGTTTAACACGGTCTTTCATCTAGAGTATTTGGTAAAATTCACATACCTGGATTCCAGCCTGACGCTTTCTATCAGATTCTTTGGGAATGGATCCTGGCAATCTTCATGTTAAAAAGACTCCTAGGAAATGTGAGCATTTTCTCTGGAGTCTGTCTTTGCCCTTCTCTCCTCATTTAATTTCATTTACAATTGAGTTGTACTTTTCTAATATGTCCAAAAATCTGTATTTCCATTCCTAGACTAACCTGTCCACAGCTCTGGGCAGACATTCTGACTGTTGGACCTCTCAACTCGAATGCATTCATTTACATCTGAAATTTTATTCAATTAACTATTTTTCATCCCAGGCTGGCTTTCCCTTCTGACTTACTTTCATCTCTCAGTGGCCATGTTATTGTCCAAAGCACTGAGACTAAAGCCTTGGGGATTGTGCTTGGCCACTCCCTCTTCTTTGTCCCCACATCATTTGTCCTGGTGACCCCAGAATGTCTTCCCCAACTTTCTGTCCATTCCTACTGCCTTTCCTGGAAACCATGCCCCTGTTACCACCCTCCTGGACTGCTACATTGGCCTTCTAGCTGTTTTCTTTTTTTTTACCCCCTTTTTCTTCCCAAAGCCCCAGTAGATAGTTGTATGTCATAGCTGCACATCCTTCTAGTTGCTGTATGTGGGACGCAGCCTCAGCATGGCCGGACGAGCGGTGCGTCGGTGCATGCCCGGGATCCGAACCCGGGCCACCAATAGCGGAGCGCGTGCACTTAACCGCTAAGCCACGGGGCCGGCCCCATCTAGCTGTTTTTCTAGGTCTCTTCCTTCCAATCCATCACCCACCTCCCTAACAGATTAACTTTTTAAACCCTGGTTGTGATGTTCAGTGGCTCCCACTGCTTGCTGAGTAAAATCCAAACTTCAGCCTGACTTCCACCTCCCTTTGCAGTGAAACCTCCCTGTGTATAGTCTGTGCTGCAGCGAGGCCCGCTAATGCTCAGTTCCTCAGCCATGCACCCTCTCTCCCCCTCTGCTTTGTTCATATCATCCCTCTGCCTAGATGCCTTCCAGGTCCACTTACCCTGTGAAATCATGACTTACTTTAAGTGCTTCTTATTGCCTCCCCTCCCATCCTCTCCATGTAGCCCTAAACCCAGAAGTGATCTTTCCCTCCTTTCAACCCCCATGACATTGCTTGAATCTTTCTTAAGGCAGTTATAACATTTGCCTTGATATTATTTCTGTGTGCCTTATCTCTTCTACTATGTGGAAAGGTTCTTTTCTTAATGCATTTTTTTTCCTACCTTTATTGAGATATAATTGACTGGAAAGGTTCTTGGAAGGGGGAGGAAACTAAACTAACATTTATTGAATATCCCGTATGTGCCAGGCTCTGTGACACTCTGTGTCTCAGGGTCTGGCGAATTGTTAAGTGCTCAGTAAATATTTGTTGAATGGGTAGATTTGTTCTTGTCACTCCCTTTTGCTTAAAATCTACCAATGCTGCCTGATGGGCATTTAGAATAAAATCCAATGCTTCCCATGGTCAATACAGGTCTATATGGTCTGGCCCCTGCCTGCTTTTCCAGCCCCATCTCATACTACTTTCCCCTTACTCACTCTGGTCCATCCCCAATGCCCTTCTCTCAGTTCCTGAAACACACCAAGTCTGTTCTTACCTCAGGGCCTTTGCAGATAATGTTCTTTCTGCCTGGAAAACCTTTCCCCTGTTCTTTGTGTGGCTGGCTCCTTCTCATGCCTCAGGCCTCGGCTTACATGCCACCTTAGCAAAGAGGACTTCTTTACCCCATTGAAAAGAGGGCTCTTTCTGTTTTCTTTTTCAGCACCTGTTTCCTTCATAACACTTGTCATAATTTACAATTATTTTATCCCCAACTCCCAGCTCCTTAATTAGACTGTAAGTTCCATGAAGGCATTTCTCTGTCCATTTCTCTGTTTTATGTCTAGTGCTTATCACGGTGCCTGGCATCTAGTAACCATTAAGTAAATATTCATTTATGTTTCTTGTCCAAAGTCATTTAGCCAGAACGGACTTAAACCAAGTCATCCTGAGTTTATCTTCTGCCGTACAGATAATGGGTGCCCAGTAGACATTTGTTGAATGAATGATGGAGAAGGAAAGACATGGGGCTCTTCCCCCAACCTCTTGCCTTTGTTTTTTCATCCTCTCCCTAAGCCCCAGGAAAATGGCATGTGTGCATGATTAGAATTGGAATCTGGGGCCGGCCCCGTGGCTTGGTGGTTAAGGGCGCGCGCTCCGATGCTGGTGGCCCGGGTTCGGATCCCGGGCGCGCACCAAGGCACCACTTCTCCGTCCATCCTGAGGCCGGGTCCCACATACAGCAACTTGAAGGATGTGCAGCTATGACATACAACTATCTACTGGGGCTTTGGGGGGAAAAAAAAAATAAAAAAAATCTTTAAAAAAAAAAAAAAAAAAAGAATTGGAATCTGGATCCTGCTGCAGCTTGCAGCCCTGGGGGCCAGTGCAGACAGGCCCAAGGAGGCTGGCAGTGCCAGTCCAGTTGCTACCTTCCAATGGTTGCAAAATGCTTGTTTCTTAGGAGAAACAGGACACTCGTGAGGCAGAGCTGCCAGTTCACATTGTTTCCGTTTGCATGCTGACCCTGGGGAAGAAAGGGATTAGAAATCGGAGGAGAGGTGGTTCTGGTAGGGCTTAAGGAATTCTGCCATGCCGGTGGGGCTTAGAAACTCTCACTTCTGCCCTGCCAACCCCCTACCTTCCTACTTGTTCCCTAATCTTTAGTTGCCTGGCCACAAATTACCAAAACTAGGAGCATGAGAAAAAAATTCTTAAAGGTATTATGGCAACTGAAGTGTAGAGAGAAAACTGAGAGGGGATCTTTGAGATGATGAATCTGTTTTACATCCAGTCTCACTCAGAATAAAAGCCAAACTCCTTGCAATGGCTTCAAGGCCCTAAATGACTTACTCTTGGACCTCATCTACTGTTCTTTCCCTCAGTCATTCTGCTTCAGGCATACTGGCCTTGCTGCCCCTTGGAAGACTTCAGGCATGCTCCTGCCTCAGGACCTTTGTATAGGATGTTACCTCTGCTTGGAAAGTTCTTTCCACAGATCCCTATGGCTTGCACTCTCCTTTGGGTCTTTGCTCAAACTTCACCTTCATGGAGAGGGCTTCCATGACTACCTTATTTAAAATGGCAACCTTTTCACCCCTTACCCTTGGCATTCCCTGTCTCCCTTTCCTGCTTTATTTTTATCTATAGGTAGCACACATCACCTTCTGACATAGCTATATATTTTGTTTTCAATTTGTTTACTGTCTCTTTTCCCCCACTAGAATGTAAATTTGATAGGGGCAGGGATTTGAGGCTGCTTTATTCACTGTTATATCCTTAGAACCCAGGGTGACTGGCTCATGCTAGTCACTCAATAAATCTTTGTTGAATAAATGAATGAATTCTTGTCTTTCATCTCCAGGGAGAGTAAAGCAAAAATTCAATTGCATGTGAACTTCCCAGCGATACTGGGAATGGGTGGATCTGGGTACTGTTCCATCTTCTTACGAGCATTTTGAAAAGTGATTTTTTTCGTTCTTGATATAGGCTGGAGAAAAGTTCTCACTATAGGATATGACTTTCTCTTTTAATTGTAATTGTGTTTTTTTTTAAAAAACATTCATATGGTTCAAAATTCAGAAGGTGGGAAAGGGTATGCAGTGAAAAGTCTCCTCACCCACTGTAGTCACCCAGGCCCTTCCTTAGAGACAATCAGTGTTACCAGTTATTCAGTGCATATATAAGAAAATATGTAGTGTGTGTTTTTCTAGCCTATGAATTGGGAGGAGTAGAGCACTAGCATAAGGTTTTTATATCAGGTAGGATTTCTGTCCATCAGATGAAAGGAGTCAGCAAGCAAAAAAGATAATCCCCTTCTCTAGAGGAATCTTGTCCTGTTCAAAATGGGTGATGACTTCTGGAAGGAGCCTGAGATTTATAATTTTTTGTTAGTTCAGATGGAAGCAAAAAAAAGAAAAGATGGGAGTTACACGGTGAAGTGGCTAAGGATGGAGGGTTTGTCATCGTTGGGCCAACTGGTGGAAGCAGCATGAGGGCGGATGGGGTGGTACCTCACGTCTTGAGGCATTGTCTTTCCCTTGATTCCAGAGCAGCTCTCATACCTCTGTCCTAAGGAGTGCCCTCACATTGTCTTTCAAGCCATTTCGGGGCCCCTGGCTGCAGCCACTGCTTCCATCCTCACCAATCCCATGGATGTCATCCGAACCCGAGTACAGGTAAGACCAGCCTCCTCCCCACTCTCCTCCCAGAGAAGCCATTAGAAGCGTGATCTTCAGGTCCTCCAGCGTTCCCCTGATCTCTAGTGTCATGGCCCTCTAGTCCAGCCAGCCTTCTCCTGGTCATCCAGACCCTTCCTTGTGGTTACGACTTACCATCTACAGAAACCAGCTGAGCACTTTAAAGTACCTAGAATGTTTCTCTCATCCTATCTGCTACTTTGTGTGCCTCTACTCCTTTACTTGCCCATGCATCTAGGAATTCTTACTGGTTTCTTCTAGCCTTTCATTCTATTAGCATAGCCTATCAACCACCTTCTCCTTACCTTGCAGGTTTGTGGTAATTAGAAATACTGATTTCAGTTAATTTTCTAAGTCTGTCTGGTTTCTGCACTAGGCTCTGATCTCTTTACAGACAGTGAGAGTGACTGTTCTTGAATAGGTTTCACAGATTGTACTGTGTGGACTCAGCAAAAACACTGACAAAGCCCTGGGTGGCACTGTCTAGGAATTATAGTCCTTGTCTTCAGTCAGCTCAAAGACAATTTCACAGCACCAAGTCCAAGGAAACAGTGTCTGAATGATGATGTATTATATACAAATGGTGGGTTTGCGCTGAATGATGATGTATTATATACAAATGGTAGGTTTTGGCTGTATAAAGCTTTAGGTGGAGAGAATGGGGGATTTTAATGTCTGATTTGGGTAGCTTAAGAGGAAAGCTGTCCAAGAGGGTGGAGTCATTGGGTTATGGCGAGGAGAGGCGGGAAGGAAAATAACTTTAACAGGTTGGGGGTGAAGTCAGCTTCCCTGATAGCAGGATGTTGGGATGGAGGTGGCTGGTAAATCTAGGTATATTTGTCGCTAGGAAAGAGTGCCCCCCCCCCCACCACACACATTTGAAAATGAATAAATTGGCATCTGATTGGTTTGCAAATAATGAAGTGCATAGGTTCCATCCTCATTCTCTCCTGAACTTTGTCCTGGGTGTTCCACAAGGAGATCCAAGGGAAAGGACAAGTCTCTCCCTTGAGTTGCTCCCAGGCTGGAGGAGACAAAGTGCATATGAGGGCCAGAGGCATAGCTGAAATAGCCCTTGACATGGCTGTGGATAAGCGGGAGGGTTAGGGGAGCAGAGGTGGTCAGATGAGTGTACTGGAGAGGAAGGGAGTGTGGAGCAGGGTGCTCAGGGAGGAATGGTAGGATGTTCTTAGCCATAGAAGGGATTATCTTGTGAAGGCCATACAGTGTAGGGGGAGGTAGAACAAGGAGTGCCTTTGTCTTGCATTGGCTGAGGGTCTGAGTGGGGCAGTCTCTAAAGGTGTAGCTTGGTGGCAGGGTATGAGGGGGTTGAGGTGGGGGTAGGCCTGTTGAAAAAGAAGAGAGAAGAGATTCCTGCCTTAGCCAGGCTTCCAGTGTGACAGGGAAGACAGGTCATGGGGTGCTTGGAAGATGACAGGGTCAGAGTGGAGGACTCTAGCCCTGGGGGCTCAGAGGGATTGAGATGATCAGAATCAAAATCACAGACTGGCAAAGCTGCAGAGGACCTTAGAGGTGATTTAATCCAGCCTGCCTGAGACCAGAGAGAAGCACCCAGTCCAAAGACTCATAGCAATGTAGTTTATCTAATGATATTCATAACAGCTAACATTCATTGAACACCTACTGTCTGCCAGGCACTGTTCTCAGCATTTACAAGTATTCTTTTGTTTACCGCTCAGAAAAACCATGTGGGGTAGGTGGTATTATTATTGTTTTATATTTGAGGAAACTGAGGTGCAAAGAGTTAAGTAAATTATCTGAAGTTATGCTGTTAGTAAACTGGGGAGCAGAACTGAAACCCAGCCAGTCTGGCACCAGAGCCTATACTAACTCACTGTGTTGTACTGTCTCTCAGAAGCAGAATCCAGCCCTCTGACTCCCAAGTCTAGATCTTCCCACTTTAGCCTAAGGCAGAGGGAGATGAAGCAGAGGTGCTTTGACTGCAGACCGTGGCCCTCCACTGTGTTGACTTTTCCAGGTTGAGGGCAAGAACTCCATCATCCTGACCTTCAGACAGCTGATGGCAGAAGAAGGGCCTTGGGGCCTCATGAAGGGCCTCTCGGCCAGAATCATCTCATCCACACCCTCCACCATTGTCATTGTGGTGGGCTACGAGAGCCTCAAGAAACTCAGCCTCCGACCTGAGCTGGTGGATTCGAGACACTGGTAACCAGTGGCGGGAAGAGAAGCCTGCTGTTTCCCACACTACTCTGGGTCAGGGGCATAGTGGGAAGGATAGTACCTTCTCCAAGTGCCCCCACCACATACCTAGCCCTGCCCTGGGCCAGGTGGCCTGTCTGGGGACAGGGACAGAGACTTTGAACTGCTCTTGCTGAAAAGGCTCCACGCCTGGATCCCTTGCCCCCATTATTTTTAATTTTCTTGCCAAACTGGGCTCCCTCACTCAGTCCCTGTACTCAGTCCTGCCCTAAGGAAACCTACTCTCCCTACCAATCCTACTCCACCCCTCCCCTGCTAACCCTTCTTCTGGCTTCCCCTTCATCTGTGTCCCTGAGATCCTGAGAAGAGCTGTACGGAGAGCTTGCTTACTACCACTGCTTCTTCCTCTTGGGCTTTCAGCCCAGATTCCTAGCAGCTGCCATCACCCGTTTCCTGGTTCATCTCTTAGGCTTGCTTATTTTTATTTTGGGACTGAGCTGCCCACCAGACTACCCTGCTTTTCCCTGCCACTGGGGGCAAGGTGCCAGGCATTTTTGCACAGGGAGTAGGAGTAGCAAAAACCTCTGGTTCTCCAGAGCACTCGTCCTCTCTTTGGAGAGTTATTAGGTTGGGGAGAAATGTTGATACTTTATTTTGTGTGTGTATTTTTTTTAACATCTGTGAACCAGGCTACTGTCTTAGTCCTGCTAAAGCACCAATCCTGCAGTCAGAGCCCACCCCTTCCTCACATAGATGGAAAAATGTAATGTAGTTTTCCCCTCAATCCCAGTTCCCTATCCCTTCCATGTCCCTTCAGGCCCAGCAGGCCCAGGACATATAAGCTGTTGGCTTTCCCTGGCCCAGATGACTCCAGTGGTGGGCACAGTTCTAAGTAGATCAGGCTGACTGGGGCACATTGGACTTGGAGCACGACCGTGAAAAGTCAGGTTGAGCGAGTAGTTGATTTGGAAGTGACAAGTGGGTATGTGTGCTCCAGCGCATCTCCCCAGACCAGCAGAGCCAAGCCTAGGAGAGGGCAGTGGAGGTTCTCAGCCCCAGCCAGTCATGACATACACATATATACCACAATCACTTGGACTTACGGAAACAGATGTTGTTTCACAATGGGAATCTCTGAGGTGTGGAACTGTTTGTGTTTCTCTTCTCCCTGATGTGAAGAGTCATCCTGGTCATGGTACCTTCTGGAGGGATGCTTGGAAGAGAGTAAAGAGCAGGTCAGAAAGTCACCCAATACCAGGACCACTGCATTTACCAGCCTGATACTGCCAAGATTATCTATTGAAGCTCTCAGGAGCTAGATGATGAGCCCTCCTTCCCTGCCTCATCCCCCATCCCCTCCACCAAGCCTGTGTTGCAGGTGGAGAGAGGTGCAGCAAACGGAATGAGGAGGCATATCAAACCCTGCACTTCTACTTGAGACATTTGGCCCAGAGGATCCTTCAGACCTTCCTATTGGTCCCACTCCCTGGGAAAGGCCATGGTGCCAATTTGAAAGGTGCTAGCTACCTGAAGCCTTGATATTTCTTATGGCTGCCCCACATTCTATCACCTTGGCCAGATCAGAATCTGAAAACCACATTTCACTACCACCACTGCCCATCTTGGTCTCTTATCTTGGAGGGTTATTTTCCCTTTCACCTATTTTTCTTTTTGTTTGTCCTTTCTTGCACTTTGTCAGGAGTCCTCCAATTTCTGTCCATAAATGGCCATCAAAAGGGTTGGGCCCACAGATCATTCTGAATCTTCCTGTCCCTCAGTCACCCCTTTACTCTAAGAACCACCAACATAATGGAAGCCAGGGGCCCCACCTCTCTCTTTAAGCTCATCCTGGTGAGACCTTTGGCCATTGGTTTTCTCAGCTCCACACCGTCCTCTCCCTAGAGACTTGTTTTCAATCCTTCCCCTCTATGGCAAAGTGGTAAAATATCATGGACAGGAGGTAGTCTCCTACCTCTCATGTCTTAGGATGTTTCTCCCTCCCAGGCTCCTTTCATTCTGTTTTATTTTCTTGTACAGTATTTTACAAGCCTTTCACCCATTCTCTCTCTCTCCTCTCTGTCACACACACGCACACACAGTTTTAAAGGATGATGTGCGTCTAATGAAAGGGACCCCTGGACCCTACTTTCCCATCACATAGTTTAGAGACTGGGATTGGGTGTGATTAAAATATACCTTGGTGGGGAAGGGACAGTGGGCTTCCGTTTTCCCAGGACCATGGACCGGATCAGCTGGAAATTTTGATGTATTGGTCCGTAGGCAAAACTGGAAGAAACTTTCCGGAGATTGGGCAAGACAGGAAACCTGATGGGAGTATTGAGGGACAGGGGGATGAAAATGCACATACAGTTAACATTTGATAAAGTGGACTCATGAATATTAACAGCGAACATTCACTGTTGGCCTGTACGAAGTCTTTCGAGTGTAATTAAAAGTTTGTATTGAGCCGGTGAGCTTTGGCTTGCGCTTATTTTGCCCGCTTGCCGAGAAAGTACTCAGGTGTACTACAGCGCTTGTTTTCTCTTGGCATAACCCTCTGCCTCCAGCAGTTTCCCTTCCCCCGTCGGCGGCTCGGTGATAGACATTCCGCTGCTTCCAATCGGAGGCGCCCAGTGCTGGGACTGGCCAATCGTGGGCCTCGGTGGGCGGGGCGGCCGGGCCAGTTAGATTTGGCGGTTCCACTTCAACATGGCTGAAGCGAGCGGCGTTAATGCAGGCAGCGGCTGTGAGGAAAGAGGGCCTGAGGGGTTGTCCCCGGAACCTCTGCCTCCCGGCACTACCATTTCGAGGGTGAAGCTCCTCGACACGATGGTGGACACTTTTCTCCAGAAGCTGATCGCAGCTGGGAGGTAAGGTGGAGGAAGCGAGGCTGAGGGCAAACCTCACAGTAGGTGAGGCGGGCGAGAGGCAAAGAGAGGGTTTGTCCCCCCAAACTAAATCCCGCGAGAGCAGGACGGCAGACAGCCCAGTCACGTGGGTCTCGGGGTTCCAGGGTTATTGACTGGCAGTCTTGAATCAAACAACAGTCGATTCTTGAGCCTCGGGGCATCACGTGGTGTTTACCAACACAGGTAACGTGTAGCCGACCTGGACAACTGCTACCACTTCCTGTCAGCCTCGTTTTGACTAGAACTTCGGGTGGTCGAGAGGAAAGATACAGGCTTTGTAATTGATCAGGGTTCGAATCATGGCCCAGCGTGATGTGAGCCAGCCTTAACCGCTCTGTGCCTCGGTCCCTCATCAATAAAATGGTGATGATAGTACCTTTCTCAAAGGATCGTTTTGAGAATTAAATGAGTACATACACGTAAGGCGCTTAGAACAGTGCCTGCCACATAGAAAGCATTAGAATTTTAGTTATTACTATGGGCATAATAATACCTTCACGGAGTTGTGAGGACTAAATGTTCTATCACAGAAAGAAACACTTCCTATCTTGATTTTTATTTTATATGAACAATATTGTAACAATATTGGATGATTTCAAGGAAGAGTTTTGCCCATGAGCCTACCACCCCAGCACATTAATACTGAAACACTGTTATCAGAACTTCAAGGGGTTTGAGCTCAGCCGGTTCCCCATCCAGCCCTCTCTATCCTCACTACCCCTGTTCTTTGACCTCATCGAGACTGGGATCTTCTCCCAATCTCCTTCCTTCCTGGTTTAGTACTTTACCTTTTCTGCATAGACCTTATGATCCATCTCTTCACTCGTTGATTCACTCAGCAAATATTTGAGTGCCCACTCTGTGCCAGGCACTGAGGATACCATAAAGCAGACAAGGCCCCTGTCTTGGAGCTTACATGCAATGGGTAGAAACACGCAGTAAACAAAATATTCGTAGAGCTTGCTAAGATCATGAACAGGTCATGTGACAGAGAGCAACTTGGGGGAAAGGAAAATGCTGGATAGGAGTTAGGGGAGCCCACTCTGAGGAAATGACATTGAGCTGAAACTTGAAGAATGAGAAGGAACTGACTCTGAAGAACTAGAGAGAAAGCTTATAGGTAAAGGGGACAGCTTATGCAAAGGCTCTGAGATGGTGAGAGTGTTCTAGGGACTGGCAGAGGCCTTCTTGGCTACAACATAGTGATCAGAGGGAGAGTAAAATCAGAGGAGGCTGGACAGGCAGGTGACAGCCATATGCAGGACCCAGTTTCCATAGTAATGAACTTGATAAAATAACTTGTAATTATTTTTGTGGACCATTTATGACACACCATATTATATGTCCAGGCAAGGTCCCTCCTTTGATTTATTAACTTTTCGCTACTCATTCTTTTTTTTTTTTTAGAGAGTGGCCCTGAGCTAACATCTGTTGCCAGTCTTCCTCTTTTTTTTTCTTTTTTCTCCCCAAAGCCCCAGTACATAGTTGTATATCCTAGTCGTAGGTCTTTTTAGTTCCTCTTTGTGGGAGGCTGCCTCAGCCTGGCTTGATGAGCAGTAAGTCTGCGCCCAGGATCCGAACCAGTGAACCCTGGGCCACTGAAGCGGAACGCACGAACTTAACCGCTATGCCACTGGGCCAGCCCCGTCCCTACTCAATCTTGCCCTCCTCTCCCCTCCCCATAAGCCCTGCTTTCTGTTGGCTATATGTCCTCCATTTATTCCTATTTCATATACAAATATTTATTGAGCATCTACAGTGTCCCAGGCTCTGTTCTAGGAGCTGGAGATACAGCAGTGATCAAGACAGAAAGGTCTCTGCTGTCATGGAGTAGACGTTATAGTGCCATAAAGAAAAATAAATAAGGGGAAAGGAATGGAGAGCAATGGGGAGAAGAGTCTGGGTTAGTGTGAGTGCAGTGACATTTGAATATGTTTATATCTTTGTGAAATATGTTGTTTTGTCTGTGTATGTTTTAAGTTTATATGAATAATTGTGCTACATATGTCTCTTTTCACTCATTTCACTTTTTTCACACACCATTTTTTTTTTTTTTTAAAGATCTAACCATGTACTGAAAGTGCATATGGTTCAGAGCTTCTCAGTGCTGCTTCTCCTTCCATGATATGCATCCAGCACTTACCCATTCCCTGTCATGGACACCTGGTTGCCTCCAGCTCCCTCGTCCACAAATCATGGCAGAGTGAATATCCTTGTATATCCCCTCATGGACTAGTACTAGAATTTTTCTGAGGTATCTAACGGAGAGGGATCACTGAATCCAGGGTTTACACCTACCTATGTTTTGTCAGATTGCTTTCCAGAAAAGCTGTTCCTGTCTCTTACATCCTCACCATAACTGGGTATCTACCATTCTAATATTTGCCATCCTGAAGGTGTGCAAGGGGTATCTCATTATTGTTTTAGTTTGCATGTCTCCGAGTCCTCATAGGTTTGGGCATTTCCTCTTATACTTATTAGTCATTTGGCTTCCTCTTCTGCAAACTGTCTACTCATTTCCTCCAGCTTTTTATTTTCAGACCCATTGTTTTTTTTTTTTTT